TGGTTGAGATAAATTAATATAAAAATACATTATGTTCTTTATTCTTGACTCTTTGTTTGCACCGTTATAGTCACGCTACTGTTTAAAAAAGGTGTTAAGATTTTTTATAGATATTATTTAACTTTCCTTTCGGTGTCTTTTTTTTTTTTTCCAAAAAAAAAAACTTTTCCTTAGACTTGTTAGACTAATTCAATTGAATAAAAAACTTATTGAATTGGTTAGAGACAAGGTCTAAAAGCTTAAAACAAGTGTGAATTAAAATCCATTTAAAAAAATCCATAATTTTTCTAAATATATTTTTATTAAATTAATTTCTTATTTTATTTTATTTATGAAAATTGTAGTTTTGTTACATAAGTGGATTATTTCATCCCTCACCCTAGCATCCTAATTTCCATAAAAGAGAAAAAAATTACTAATTATAAATTATAAAAACCAAAATCATCATCTTTTAAAAATACAATAACTACTAAAACTAATTTTAATGAAATTAGAAAACTTAAAATATATTTTACCCTATAAGAATTAGATTGATGAGGCAATAAAGTACACGGATTATATACTCAAGGGCCCTAAACCTGTGAAATTAAGAGACACGAGAAAACATCTACACAGAAAGGGTTGTCAAAAGCCTCTTAAAAGTAAACAAGAGCCAAAGGAGGTAGCTTTACATTAACAAAAAGGTTAATAAGCATTATGAAACAAATTTAGGCATCTGTCTGATAAAGATTACTTTAATTTGAGGTGGCTATCTTTCGAAAATGAGGTGAGATTAATTTGGTTTAAGAAAATATATTCTTATTTTAATTATGAAAACATTACTTTATTTTCTATTTTTAAATAATTCTATAAAGGTTAATTTTACTAATTTTTTTTATAACTATTTTTAAATAAAAACAAGAAAACTATGTATCACTTTTGTAATTTGATGAAGTTGAAGTAGCTAGAAAACAAAACCAAACAGCATACTCGTGAACAAAAGCATATCCACGTTCATGAATGTTATGAGTTACTTAACATGATACGCTAATTGTTAAATTTTAATTCAATGCAACTGTACCACTGAGTCATCACGTGATATTTTTCTGTTAGTCTTACTTTTTCCACTGATCTACGTTGACAAATCCACAACCATAATAAATATGAATACTCGTTCTAGTAACATTGTGAATTCTGCAAAATAACTTAAATTTGCAACTGCAGCATCATTAATTATATATCCATAAAAAAATAAGATACATTGTATACTGTAAGCTCTGCATATATAAGGCAACTAATCTTCAGAATAAACAAAGAAACATCTCTTTCTTCGTTGAAAACCTGCACCGATCAATTTAAACTTGATTATAATATAATTTTTAAACATTGTTTTCTTGGGTGCTAATCACAAAGTTCATTTAAGAATAATAGTCGAGTCAAGACCCATGTATACAACTTGCATTAAATTTTCGGATATTGATAATAATTCTATCAAACTTGAATGATAAAAGATACTTGTGATTTTTATTTTTTATTTTTAAATCTGTATAATGAAATTTCTTCATTATATATGAACAAATAGGTCAACTAAGTTGATTTTCCAATAAGAATGATCATTTTATTTGCAAGGTTTAATTTTCATAAATAACGTAAAGACTATATAAAATCTTTGTTAAAGCCGAAAATGGAAACCTAGAAATTTACAGACAACACAAAAATAAACAATTAAAATTAACCTCTCTATATTAAATATGAATAGTTGTCTAGCGCAAGAATATTTTTAACGATTTTTCTTAAATAAGAAAATTTATATAAATTTTTTTAATTTCTTATCTAATTCGATTTTTATTTATCATAATTATTTATAAATTAAATTTTAATAATTTTAGAACAAATTATCAATTAATAAGATAATTGTATGCTATAATATAAATTATTTATCATAAATCTACAATATAATTTATATGTTTAAAAATATTTATTTATATAGATTTCAAATATAATTCATATATTCATACATAACATTTATTTATATATAATTTATTATAAAATTTTAATTATATATAATAAATATTTATCATGTGTATTACATGTGCGAAAATACTCATTATATATATATGAGTCAATATTTATTACCATATAAATGCTTGTAATCCAAATGAACGAGATATTAATTGATGAAAAAAATTTCAATTAATGCTACCACTAGCTAAATAAAATTTGAGTATCAAAGTATTGCACTACAAAAAATGTTACATATAATGATATATAAAAAGTGTCACTATACATATATATAATATATACGTAGATATAAATTTGACATATATTTACATACAAAAATAGTATTGATTTTAGATAATATTCAATTACATATATTGTATGTAACTATAATTTATACTTATACTTTCAACAATATATTAACATAAATTATATTTATAATATAAGTAAAAGTAATTTTTAGTGACAAATATTATGTTACTATAGAGTATGTGTCATTATATGACAATTTTGTTGTAATGTTAATAATTAGATTTTAAAGTTTAGTTTGAGTAGTTGTAAGTTTCTAGTTTTTTTTTTCTTCTCAAGTATGATTTTGAAAACAAAACATGTTTTGATAAAATTGAGGATCGTTGAAATGATTTTAAATGAATTTCAAAAAATCATTTTGACTTATTTAAGTAAACAAAAAAAATATAATTCTAGTTTTAAGTTTTTAGGAGTTGTTATCCCCCTTTCAATATTATAGTTTTCTCTACCTTCCGCAAGTTTCTGTCAAAGGTGATAAAATGAGTATTTGATTGACCAAAACTTGCCTAATGAAATGTAGAGAGTTTGAACTTTATATTTTGAACACAAACTAAATCTAGGTCATTTTACCCAACCGGATTATGTCTTGATTTGGACTTATAGCTTACAAAAACAAGATTTTATTGGGTTTGAGTTTCATTTCAAATTCAAAAGACTGAATTGAATCTTAGTGTTTTGGTTTGACCTACTATAGCCCATGACTTCTATCGTGCCTACAACCGGAACTGACTCAAATGCTTAATGAAATGTAGGGCTAAAACTTTAATTGAGTACGAATAAAATTTAGACATTTATAACTTAATATGATCATGTTCCGATATTTGAGCATAAACTAAAAAAAATTAAAAATTAAAAATATTAGAAAAAAAGATGATAAAATAAAAATTGTTAATTTTTTTTTTTTCTAACTTAAACTACAAAAATTCATAAGAATTGAGGTTGGCCCTCATTTTAGAAGCCTTGATTTGAATCCAGGCTCGCAACTAAAGCCTCCTTTTAGTATGCGATCCACATCGAACCGTACAAGTAGTGTAAACTCAGCTCAACAAAATGGCTTTAAAGTTTGACCACCAAGTAAATATGTAATTAGGTTTTATAGAAAACTATTAGGAGATCCTGTTATGTATTAATTTTTTTTTTTACACAATTTAATGTGTCTCGCATCCACTAGAAATAAAATCAGCTGTATATAAGTAAAAAATAATTAAGGATGACAACAGGCCAGAGCGGAATGGATATGAATTTTATTATCTTAATTCCTATCTTCATTTTCATCTCCATTCATGTATCATATACCCGTTCTAGTATCCAATGGCTATAATTTGTGACCCCGTCCTTGTCAAGTATCAGATAAACCTGTACTTGCTTATAAATTAATTAAATATATTTTTTTAATTTATATATATATACATATATATATATAATAACTTCAATATAGAGTAAATATTACAAAACTACATTAATTAAGTTTCATATGACATAAAATTAAAATAGAATAAAAATTACATAAATCTCAAGTAAATTTTTTAAAATTAAATTAAATTTTCAGAAATTTAAAGCGGGTATGGATAAATATATATATATATATAAATAAAATCAGTTGCCGAGGGTCAGGAAGCTCTATCTGCGGGCGCCAGAGGAATGGTTTTGGGCAATCAAAATCAAAATGGGAGGACACTTCTTGCTGAGCCTCATGTTCTCTCTACTGTGACCCGACTTGCAATTTATGCAAATACAACGCCGAGTGCTTTTCACAGAACTGCCACGTAAATATATATATATATATATATTGATCTCTATTCTTGTATCCAATTTAATAAATTGTGTATTTCTCATATTCATACTCGGTCAAACTGGATATTTCCATCAAAGTTGGACAAATTCAAATATTATCCACAGATAAATGTTTACTTACCATCCATAAAAACAATCATCACCTCACAAATCAGTTTTATAAGGTTGAATTAAACTTTAGTTCACTTTCTTGAAGAAAAATCAAATCAAACTTTGAGCACAAATTAATTATGAGTCTTTGTCTTTTGATTAACATGATTAGATGTTTACAAAATCTCGTAAAATAAAAATATTTTTGTCTCATGTATCGTGGTTTCATTTTAAATATTCTTATCGCAAAACTTCATATCTTTTTGTAAATTTTCTAAAAGAAAATTATGAAATTAACAAGAATTTATTAAAACAGAAAAAACTGAATCTGTAAGCAAAAAACTGAAAATTAATTTTAATTTTTAATATTTTAAAAACTTTATTAAATTATTATCATATATACAAGACATAGAGTGACAACGCGAGTACATGGTAGTTTTCCACAATGAAACAAACCAAAGTTTGAATCTTTGTTGAAAATAGTGCACACATTTAGTGTTTGATTGTGCTTCAAACAAAATTGTTGCCAAAAAAAAGAAGAAAAAAAAAAGAAAAAGATGCCTATGACTATGAGAAGAAAGAAAAAAAAAAAAAAAAAGAAGACATTAAGCTCCAATTTAAGCTTTTTGTGGATAAAGAAACCAAACATGAAATAGTTTGATCTCCTTAATCAAATTCCCCGATTTAATTTAAATTAATCAAGACTGAAAATAGTTCTTGGAATATATATAGCAATGAAGAGTCTCTCAAAGTAATAAAATAAGATATGATTAATTAATAATTGGAAGGTCCTTGTAATTATATTGCCATCATACGGCAACACACGTCACTCTGGCTAGTTTTTGCAACCTAAAGAAATTGACAGGAAACAAAAACAAAAAGAATTGCATGGATGTCATCGCTGTATGCCACACAAGGATGTTAACTATAAGAAGAAAGGGGCAGCATGTGAAACTCATCATATTTTTGTCCGAAGAATTATGAATTCAATGGGCATGGAGACCTTGGATCAGATGCTTCTGTCAAGTTGGTACCATGTTCATTCCTCGGTGCCCCCATCCTATGTTCAATTACCAGAAAACAGGCCTGGTAGGGTTGTTAGTTCTTTGCATAAGGCAATACCCGTCATTGATCTTGGAAGTCATGATCCTGCTCATACCACAAACCAAATGTTGAAAGCCTCTGAGGACTATGGCTTTTTCCAGGTTTCTAACTCTTGCAACTTTCTCTTCTCCTGTTGTCTCTCACTTATGATCTAGATAAATTTTTACACAAGTACTTAAAAAAAAATTTCTATAAGCTAAAACTGAAATATATGTAAGTTAAATTTAATATAGCTAAATGAAAAGCCTTAGATCTATATCAATATTGAGTTATAAGTAGACCACTCAACTGTATTAATATCTTATAACTCAAAATTTTGAGATATTTAATTTAATTATGGATTTTCTCACTTATAACATCAACATATTGATATCTATCTGATGGAAAACTTTTCCTTCAAGTCTTCACACCAACAAGTGTAAAGTGTATGAAAATAAAAAATATATATTTTTATTATATATGGAGAAGTTAATGCAAATAAATTCTTTATTTGTCCTCTTCTCCTTCTGGTCTCACTTCAGGTGGCCTTCACTTAGAAATCGATACATGGTTTGAAACTTGAAAGTATGTGATCACCAATTTTCATATGATCATGTTATTAATGATTTTTTGTAAATTAAAAAAATGTGATTATGTTTCTCGTTATTACCGGTGCATATGTTACATAAAATACAATATTCTTCCATCGATCTATATGTACCCTAGAAAATTGACTAATTGATCCAAAAACCTGTGAATTGGTAGGTAATAAACCATGGAGTTTCGAAGGATTTAATGGATGAAACTCTGAACATTTTTAAAGAATTCCATGGCATGTCTCCGAAAGAGAAGGTAAATGAATGTTCTAAGGACCCAAACGGAAGTTGCAGGATTTACACAAGTGGTGAGAACAAGATGAAAGATGAGATTCTTTATTGGAAGGATTCACTAACACATCCTTGTCCTCCCTCTGGGGAATACATGGAGTATTGGCCTCAGAAACCATCCAAATACAGGTCAATTTTATTTTCATGTTTTGCTAATCTAGTTTTTGTTTGTCTCTATTAGATTATTATTTTTTAATTAATTATTTTTATAATACTCTCATTTATTTAAAACTCTTGGAATGAGTTCTGATTTGTTGGCAAGAAAATTAAATTCTTTTGATAATGATCACATATATATAGTCTTGTATGGAGGTCAACTTCGTGTAGCCATTCTAATGGATTATACTAATTGGGAATTTTAATTTGAACAGATTCGGTCAATGACGTGAATTTTAGTTTAAATATTTCACATATGCAAGTAATTTGATTCGTTTTAGTTTATTTGGTTACTTTTAAAACCAAAAGAGAAGTGATTGCATCATCACCAATTAATCTTGATTGAGTGGATGATATTAAAAATGACGAATAATAATTATATTGATATGACCAAGAAAGTTCGGCTCAATCTGAATTTAATTATATTAATATTGAGCAATTTTCTTTCGTTCTCTTAAATTAGTAGCCGACGGCTCTTATCTTATCTATTATAATATCACATGGAAAATGTAAGTAACATTTTCTCCAACACTTTTTTTTAATATTATATTATTGCTTAAAATTTATTAGAAATTATAAATTTTATTGGTGTTACATTTTATTTGATGGATCTCTTC